GGGGAGTAAGAAGAGAAGAGAAAAAGAAAATGAAAGAGTATGTACGTGTGTATTTCAAGGCTAGAAAAAAAAAGAAAAAGAAAAGAAAGAAAGAGAGTGAGGTCTAAAGATATTGCATGTCCTATTCTTGGTATACCATTAGTTTATTTCAATAAATGATGTCCATTTAAAAGAAGTAATTCATACTTTTCTATTAATCGTTTTACTCGATTACTATGAAAAAAACTGGCCAAGATGATTCTTCTTTCTTTTATGAAATTTATTCCAAATAAAAATATCATTATAGACGAGTGAACGACCAAGATCCGTTGTGTCCATACTTGTTGTGGGAGAACAATATCATTCCAAACATGCCTTCAATTTATCTGTTTCATTGTTGTTTTCCGTTGTTGTTTTTGATTGGTTTAATCAATCGACATAGTTAGATAAATATCGATTGATTGTTGATTATTAATCGTTTTTTTAGAGCGGTCGTTGATTATTGTCGACAATCGTTATAACCGCCGATTACCGTACTTTCCGTTATAGTTTTTTTTCGTTTTGTTCATATTCTGATATTTATTCTATTTCAAATAAATACACAGATAAAAAATCCTAACATTGGTACCGTGAACCGCGGGTGTGAGTGAATGTAGGTGTTGATGTTCAATTTATCAACATCCACAGTCCAAATGATTATTTTAAGTTAAAGTTAATATTTATTTAGTCAGTAGATTCAATAATCTGCTATATTTTACAACATAACGGATGGTCAAGAACAAATGGCGGACTCCGTGTTTGATTCAGATCTCAGTCATGTTTCATAGCTTACGTTTAACTTTTCTATTAAAAAATTCGCCATGTAATTCTGCACAAAACAATAGGTTCCTTCGTCTTTAAACAACAACTTGATTAAAAATCACCATTATAAAATTTTCAAAACCTTCTCTTTTTTTCGTTTTTTTACCGAAAATATTCAATTCCTGAATTATTTCAGACGTTTTTGATATAAGACATTCTTCACTGAAGTAATCAATTAAATTCACTTGACTCTGTTGGTTGAAATGCACTAGTTTATCTTTTCAGTCACTAGCGCATCACGTCAAAAACATCAGAATTAATTCAGGAATTGAATAGATTCGGTAAACAATGAAAAAAATTATGGTCGTGAAAGTTGTTTGTAATGGTGATTTTTTATCATGTTGTTGTCTAAAGATGAAGGGCTCAGTAGTTTTCAAATAAAACTTATCATTTTGTGCAGAATTATACGGCGAATCTTTTGATACACAAATCCAAGTAAGCTATAAAAGATAACGGAGATATAAACCAAACACTGATGCCACCATTTATTTTCGACTATCTATTAATTTAGCATTTTTTTTTATTGTGAATGAGAGCGAGGATATAGCAATGAATAGTGTGTAGAAGTATGGACATATTTTGTCGGATTATAGTTTGCTTTAAATATAATGTTTTTTTCATCAGGTGACACCAAAGATGTAAAGAAAAGGACATAAAATAATCAATGATTCATTGTTGTGCAATTTAATATTACAATTTCATCTTTCATTTGGAATTTTTCATATTTGTATTTTTCTTTTATATATGAAATCAAATCAATCATTTGTTTGTCATTAATTTTGTCAAGTGAGAATGTTGACTATATTCTCTTTTGTATAATATTAATCCAATCGTCAAGTATTACACTGTCATCGTATGTATACTGATATGTATGATACTAAATATTTTTTGAAACCACTCATTTCTAATTCTTGCACATAATTATCAATAGAAGGTAATATTGACATACGTAGCTCATTTGTACTCTTATCCAATGGAAAGATTTCTTTTGGTGTACGTGTAACAATGATAAATTTGTTATCATCAGAATGTTGGCGAAAACCTTTGAAAGCTAATAATCTTTCATTATGCGATAACAGATGAACACAATGCTTTAATAAAAGACGATTATACGCTGGTAATTGTTTCTGTTGACTGAATGTAACTGCATTCGTACAAAATGTTTGAACAATATTGATTAAATTTCGTTTTCTTATCTCACTCTTAAAGATTTCAATCGTGCTTGACGATGCATCACACCCAATAATCTTAATGTCATTATTCATTTTATTTAAGAATAATAGACTATCAATTCCTGATCCACAGCCAACATCAGTTAAAATATGATCACGTTTGAGATCTAATACATCCAATATTATTGTATTTAACCATTGTACATGAGCCGATGATTGAAACTGAAACAGCGGTTCTGCATGATAATCGGATGCAACATTTATAAAATGTTCTGGTAAAGCATACAAATTTTGGTCTGGATCAGTAGACATCATTTTTTATTTTAGTATTCAAACAACAATAATTGTTGAATTTCCTCAATATGAAGTTTTGCAAATAGAATTCTTATTTTAACGAAGAAGAAATAAAGAAGAAGATGAATTTCATAATATAGTTTAGAGAAATGAGCAAAAAACAAAGAGATATGAAAATCTTGATATCGTATTGTGTTTTGCTGAAGAGAAAATTGCTTTTACGGCATGGTTCTCGATTGGAATGTTTAAAGTGAGATAGTTTCAAATCTACTCGATAGATAATAATCGTC